AGGTTGCGCGGGAGTAACCTAAAATAGAAAAGCATTTACAACTCTTTTCATTCACATGATTTTTTCATAATTTTTCATACTTTCCTTTTGGTCGTGGTCGAGAAGCTATACACCAAATTTGGTGGCTCAGTTTTGCTTCGGTTGTAAACAAACTGATTATTTATTTTTTTTGTGCATAAAGATTGTCTTTCAACATGTTGAAATCGTGTGCATACAGGTCTAATCACTTATCCTGTTTGTAACGTGTTAATCTATCTGGTACCTGTGAAATGGCGTCAGAATTGAAATAAGGGCTTACTAAAGGTTTTAGGTTTTTGCCCACTATTATTCAGTCAGATTTCCGCGTATCACTCTTGGGAACTTTACGAGTTCTCTTTTGCTTTTCTCTAAGAAAACGACATCCAGCGTGTGAAAGCGCCACCTCTGCTGAGCCCTGACCCAATCCCTTTGCTGAATATTTTGTGGACCTGTATAAGCAGGGATGGTTACTACTAGCAGCTTTTATACATTAGAAACACTTGGCGTATTTTTCATAAGTGATGGTAATTTGTTGGATAAATGATAAGATATCCGAGGATATGGGACTAGCAAAGTTGATGCCACTCACGATCAGGACCCGGCACAGATCGTCTGGAAGCAGGCTGGACTTCGTTTTTGAAGAAAACAGCAAAGGGGATATCGTTATTGACGAGTCGGAACCGAGCACCAAGAATAGCGCCGTTTAGTTGAACACAAGCTTTTCGGACACGTTATCACACAATTGACATGCTCTATCGTGCATGGCGAAAAGTGCGCGCCGCGTGCGAAAAGTGAAAGTAAGGCTAAAATAAACAAATTGCTTGTTTACAGCGCACACAAAATTATATGACACCAAAATTGAACTGTATACTTAGAAAATTATTTGCGGGAGGATTATGTAAAAATATTTGAAAACTTATGTGAAGTAATACCTTTTCCAAAATTAGATCGTCTCCAGACGGCCACCAGACGATCTGAGATCGTCTGGAGCACATATTTTCGTCACTTCACATAAGTTTCGGATCTTTCTAGCATGGACGGATGCCTCGGTCGAGAGTTCATCCCTGAGCAAAGAAACATTTTCATGTCACCCCTGTCCGTCGTTTTTATCCTCTTTTTTTCCCGAAAATCGCCTTATTAGATATCGCGCTCCAGCGTCAACTTTTCTGCATCCTCTCCTTTTGAATTTTTATTTTCAATTTAGCTTTTTCTCAATTTTCATGATTTCTTCCATTCTTCTTTCTTCTTCTTCTCTTTCTTCTTCTTCTTCTTCCTTATGCTCGTGATCTATTTTGATCGCTCTATAGGTCTGACCATGTAGGGCTTTATGAGTCAAAATGCTGTGGATTTTGTGGTTTTTCTTTGAGAGTGTGACCTAAAATCGCGAGATTCTCAGCTCGCAGCAGGTGAATGGCTTTGTCAAGGACTAAGTGAGTATGCAAGGATCCACTAACAATCGGAGGGGGGAGCAAGGGTCAAAGGGGACTTCGTAAAATTTTCGAAAGTCAGGGGGGATTTCGCTTCCAAAAAGCCTAGAAACGGACTTGTGCCGGACCCTGTTCACGATTTGTCAGCCTCTGAAAGGTGGCAAACAAGCTTTCTAACGGAAATTTTTGCGTCAAAATAAAGGGCCTGAACACTTGCCGATGTTTGCTCATGCTACTTAGAATTTTTCTGACACTGCTGCGACACAGAGGAGGCCTCATATAGAAAGCAGAGCGTCTATGTTTGTCCATGTTCGTCTATGTTTCTTTGTTCGCAGATTGATAAAAAAAACTTTTTGCCCTAATTTCGACCAAGTCAGCAGACAAAAGCTTCAAAAGTGAAAAAAAAAGGTTTTCAATCAAAATCGTTTGTTCCAATTTCGTGGTGCAAAAATCAATAACAAAAATCATGGGAAGGAAACAATTAGTAGTTACGATAATTAGTTTGAATTATAGTGATCAGAACTCTGTCGATGATCCCAATGCACATTTCAATCCAAGGAACCAGTTCAAGGAAAGTACTTACCTTACCATTTGGACGTCCTCGCACAAGAAGTACAAATGGACAAAAAGATTTGAGCGCTCCTCCATCAAATATGCAACTTGTCAATGGTGATAAAAATTCCGTTCAAAAGTAGGAGCTTGAAACAATAGATTTGCCTGTTATGTGTAGCAACATCCATAAATTAAAACTTAGCTCCTTGCATCATAACGTTTGATTCAAATTACTCAGATTCCTTTATGTTAGTTAAGTAGTGCAATCTTCGAAGAATTTGATATCTTTCTCATGAGGTAAGAAACACTCTGAACAAGAACACTTGTCCAAAAAAGAGTAGAGTTCTCTGTTTGCACGTTTCCACATGTTAAAGTTGATGGTCATGTTTGGGTCTAAAAGAATACTCGAGTAAAATAGAATAAAGGAAATGCAAGTTCTGCCGCAAAAAAGGCATTGACTGATGTCATTTATCCGAACAGAAGAGTTCCCAGAAATGTGTTAAGTGTGCTGGCGCTTTTAGTTTAGCGTGATCCGTGTGTGAAGAGAGATGAAAGAATAGTACACAGACTAAGGAGGCACATTGGTGACGTTATGGGTTGGCGAACCCAGCGGGGCACTTGTGATTACCGATCTTACCCAGTTGGTTCACGAACCCAAGGGTTCGTGAACGGGTGGAATGCGGGGCTCTCTGACTTAATTAAGGCTAGAGAACGATTAGAGAGCATGTTCGCGAGAGAGGCGCAGACCGCGTCGCGGATGCGAGCAGTTGCCTCCTAGGTCATAAAGCCCTGCCTTCCAGCAGCCAATTTGGTTGAAGCAAAGGGTAGAAAACTCCTTGCAAAGTCCAGCGAGGTGCGAGGTCGATGTGTATCCGCTGCCACACTCGTGCGAACGGTCACGCTTCTAATGGTACCTTCATCGGTTTTGTGGATAATTTCTAACATTTTTCGTGCATCTTCGCACCAAGTCTTTGCAATCCTTGCCATTATTCGGCAAGAGACTTAACTTTGAGCCAGTTTCTTCATTCTTACAATCCTTGGGTGATCACGCAGTTCCTTCAGAACATTTCCTCGAAGCTCCTTGGATATCACAATCCTTTCGGTTGAACAGACATTGCTCCACAATTGACAATGTCTGTCGTCGACTTCGAAAATCTTTCGATTCTTCATTAACTTCTGGCCACTCTCCTTTCTTCAAGTAGGTCAGCACTTTTTCTAGCACTAGATCCTATTCCTGTAGGAGTGCATATATGTTACTGTCACTGGGTTTAGATCGTCGTTGATAGCTATCACCCTATTTACTTCGTGAATCTGATTCTTCTTCATCAATCGTGACAACTGCTTGTCCGAACTTCGTAGTTTTGACATAATCTAAATCAAAGTCATATCCAAGTAGAATTGTAGCCCATCTCATAAGTCTGTTGGCGGAGTACACAACTCTCTTCTTATCACCAAAGATGGCTAGCAATGGATAGTTTGTCAACAGTAGAAATTTTAACACTTGTGAAATGTCTTTACAGCAAAGACAATCCCCAAGGCTTCCTTTTCGATCTGCGAATAATTTTTCTTTACTTTAGCAAGAGACCGTGAAGCATGCGCAATTGGCTTTCGGATCCTTCAGGATATCTGTGCGATACCACGCGTCCAATTCCATGGTCGCTGGCATCCGCTGCCACGAGATCTCTTGTCTTGGATCATAGTGAGCAGATTTAGCTCACTCGACAAAGTCTCCTTGAGCTCCTCGAATGCTTTCTGATGTATTTTAAGACCATTTTGACTTCGAATCTTTTTTCAGCAACGCTATAAAAGGCGCTCATTTTCCGCATACATTGTGGTTGCAATCGACTGAGAGATTGCAGATCTTATATCGGGAACACTGATCAATCACCAACACAACAATATCATAATCGTTACGATATATTTGCTCTGCGAAGTCACAGTTCTGCACAGAAAGTTGTCCTGAACAAAAGGATGTCGCCTACTGCAAAATGCTTGCAGTATGTTCCACTAAACACATTCCAAAATTAACCAGCCTTCACCAAAACATGTGTTGCTTCAGTACTGTCTAAATCAACTGCGAGGAATCCATGAAGAGTTTGAGCGATTGGGGCATTTCAAGGACCTATCTACATAATCACACAGCGGTTTCTTGTAAGGAGCACTTGGAGTAGATCTACATAAAAAATGATGTCTTCTAGGCACCTATGGATCGAATGTGTTTTAATGTTCAGCTAAAGCTCATTTTCTCTAAAATTATAGAATTCGATACTACTCCTGGTCGTAACAACGAGGAATGAGGAGCTTAATGATGATATGAGGTGGGCAAAAATCAAAGTTTACGTGAAAACTTTGAAAATATGTTCTGTGAAATGTGCGTAAGTGAATTAAAGTAAAAAATATGTTGGCCGAAAATATTTCAATACGCCATCTAACTACTCAGTCAGTTCATAACTTCCTAAACTTTGCTCCTGTTCCCCATTGCGCCCGTTTGATTGAACCAAGGTAGCATCTTCAGAAAATCTGAAGATTGTGATAGAATTGATTCTTTGAATGATCGATTACATGTGTTCCATTCTATGTACTTCATAAACAAAGAATCACACTAAAAAGTGCCTTTGGTAGCTCTCAGACAATCGCCGGGGGCAGGCGGGCACCGGAAAAATAGATTGCTGATCTCTCGCACCCCGCTCGCGGATTTTTTGGAAAGCAATCAGGACTTTTCGGAAGACCGCTTGCTGAGTCAGCGGATTTTTGAGAGACCGCCTGTTGAATTTTTTTCGCTCTTATCTTTTGCAGATATATTGCTGAATCTCTGAGGAATCGAGAACTCAGCAAGCGGCCTTCCGAAAAGTCCTGATTGCTTTCCAAAAAATCCGCGAGCGGGGTGCGAGAGATCAGCAATCTATTTTTCCGGTGCCCGCCTGCCCCCGACGATTGTCTGAGCTCTTGCTGTCATGCTCTTGCGTAGGCTGCCGTTTCCCAAGGTCTGGCTGGCATAAAGTTTTAACTGGTTTTTTGTTGTAATTTTTGAAACTGGATCAATGTCAAGGTTGCAAGTTTAATGTCGCTTACCTCATTGAAAAAATATGACTCGAGACTCAGCTTTGAGTGTTCACATTGTTTTCCATCGTAAAATTCACTGCATTCACAGTACGCCTGAAATTCAGTATTATAGAAACCCTTCTAAACATTTTTTGAAAATTAGATAAAATCAGACGAGTCTACCGCTTCTTAGGCTTCACCTTGCTTTCCGGATTTCATACAGTGCAAAATAAACTCTAGCTCTTGATTGGAATAAGATGCTTAGACCACGGCCTTTCCAATGCGAGATTCCTGGCTTTGTACCACGTTTCGACATTATCCGACTTTGCAAACGCGCTCATATCCACTTATCAGATTGTGCGCACTGCGCATACGCAAAATTTCTCAAACCAGGCCAGTATGCCAGAACAATAGTCCGTTGTGCATGAAATGAAAGTGAAAATCAGCTTGTTGCTCCCTCATGGCGCGCGCCCGTAGCGGTGATTAATTCTACCACTTGTATTGAGCGCCTACCTGCGGTGTGCAATAGCACGAATAAAAACTTGTCTAGTAAGGAAAATGGTGAACTAGCTTTGGTTTCAGAGTACTGTTCAACGTTCTCCAAGAATAAAGGTCTCACAGAAATCATTTGCTTTACAGATTATTTTCCAGCAGAAACAAAATGGAAAAGCTTGGAGTGGTAGTAATTTGGTCGAAACCATCATGTTAACTGTGTTTTCATGACACCAGCTAACCAGCAGCTTCACATCATTTTCCCAACGAAACCACGAATTAACCAATAGGAAACCTCGAAATGCTATCTTGCAAAGCAAAGTCATTGGAGAAGATCGAAACTCCAACCATTCTCATGCTTGTCGGCAATCATTGCACTTTACCAAATTTGCAGTTCGGTCTCCAGCCTGCACCTTCCTATAACCTTATCTAAGCTGTAAACAAGTAAGCTTTCTCATAGTAAGTTGCAGGATGATCTCCCTCACTCTTCTTAACTTGCAAAACCAACACATCATTGTTTGAAACGAAAAAGTGGTCGGGGGTACTTTTTCATTTTAAACTATGATGTGGTAGTTTCACGTCTGCGTCTCATGAAATGAAGTGCTGTTTTCATGACTCTATCTGATAAGGAAACAATGGTGTTATCCTGCTGTTTAACTCATAGTTTGGTTTAGAATGAAACAAGCATGAAACAGTTATGGTTTTCTGCTAGCTACTTGCTTGTTTCACGATTTTGTATGACCGATTGAACTGAGTGGCCGTGAAAAGATGATCATGCTTACCACGATGTAACCATGATTGAACTATCACATCATTTGTTGGTTTCGACCAAATTACTACCACTCCTGATTAATTCTAAATTAAACATCCTCAGTTCCCGATTTAGCGAATTTTGCACGAATTTTGCTGAGCCATTCAATTCATTAATTTTATCTTGCATTGAAAGTAGATTTTTTGCTGTCCTTTGCTGTTATGCAGCAAAGACAACAGCGAACAGTACGCAATTTCGAACAAACTGGCGGTAAAGCTGATCAATTTCCGATGAGGAGAATGCGCTGACTCAATACGCATTGTGTAGGGTGAGCCTAATTCAAAGTTAGTGCCCGAGCAAAATGTCAATTTTGAGAGTTTTTGCTTATCTGGGCCTATTCTGCCTGAAAATCCACCCTGGAATGTGCGCAAACGACAAAGAAGGGCTTTAACACAAGAAGGGAATCAGAAGGTGAGCGGGGTCTTCCAATCTGTGAAGTCACTCTCCCAGCTTCCGGAGCGATCCTTTCGTTTTCCCCTTCCCCCCCCCCCCCTCGCCCTCCTTAAAATCGCAACGGTCAAGTGCGAACGCGGCTCTTGGAACCGGAACCGAGAATATCGCTCCAGAAGTTGAAAGGGTGACTTTGCAGGTTAGAAGATCTTTTACACCCGCTGGTTTCCCATCTGCGCTAGAGTCCTTCGCTGTTCTCAGGCTCTCCAGTGTAGATTTTTAGATTCAACATAGCGAATAGGTATATGCAAACATAAAACCTCAAAATCAACTTTTTGCCCCGACACTGCCTTTAATCCACGGCGTAGTGCAGTATGGACCAATTGAGTCCGTAAAGCCAAAATTGACAGTTAGTTTACTGTACTACTATTCGAAGATGGTTACCGTATTCTTTGTGGCGATTATTGTTAGCAGATAGAGGCAGGTAGAAGCACTAGTGGTGGCGCAAGTATAAGAAACAAAAGTGTTACATGTGTGTTTTGAACTATATCGGCATAGTTGATATACTTGATTGACATGACCGATGCTTTTGTGAACAGCATTTGCTACGATACGGCGACATCCCTGTTTGTAAGTGATCGCGAATCGCATCAATGGCATGAACATCCTTTTTGATATACAGTGGCGCATGCATAAAAGAACATATTTTGGCGAAAATGTAAGGTCATAGAATACAAAGACAAGTATTTGAGTGAGAGATAGGACATAAAAAGAGCTAAAGAGAGCTGCTTCTCCTTTCCAACTAAAAAAATCGTAATAATAGATACTCTGCTTCAATCTACCTCTACTGCCAACATTGTTTACCTCGAAAACTTCAAAGTAAACAATGTTGGCAGCAGAGGTAGATCAAAGCAGAGTATCTATTATAAACGATTTTTCAGTTGGAAAGGAGAGGCAGCCACAAAAATTAATTTCCTTGCTCAAGAACAGATTTTTGCGGAAGTAGTCCATAATGTAAACCCAAACTTTTGTGAACCCACACAAATATATGCTCCACGATATTCCATTCGCCGCGGTGTCGTCGTGGAAATTACAACCCTTCACGTAATTTGAAATTGAGGAATTCCGAGTGCTGTAATTCCGGGAAAGTATCACGCCACGTAAGTTTTCAGGATTTTTCACGTTAATTGCGAATGATATTTTGAATATTATGAATAATCAGAATCAGATATGTTTGCCTTTGCACTGTAAATAAATCAATTGTTTATTTAGACCTTGCATTCAGATTACGCGCCCTTCGTGTAAGAATATGGTGGACGTCCGTTTATTAATTTCTTCTTGATGTTCTAAAGCAATGAAGTCGAAGTGGAAGTAGGAAAATCTCTGCAAGAAATGAGAAGGCCTAAATTAGATTCAACAGGGTTTCTCATCTACTAAGAGTATTGGATACCAGCCAGTAGTTGGACAGGCAGCCAGTAATTGCATGGTCAGCTAATAGTTGGATAGTCTGCCAATGTTATAAGTCAGCCAGCATGAATGAGGAATCTCCGTCTGTATTTCTTTTGCACTTTTCCTGCATTTTCTTCTACTTTGCTGTCCATTATAATTCTTACTAACGCTCGCACCGCTCGTCAATCGACTAGAGCTCTTCATTCCATATATTTGCCTTTTGGGCAACTCAGTTCCACTGATAGCACTTTATAACGCGTTTTGCAGAATGCTTTCTAACTTGAGCAAAAGCTTCACTTTTCCATTTTATTCGAGACCTTGCTCACCCTCAAAACATTTTTGTCTGGGGGGGGGGTCTCGTCAGCTAGCTTCTGCCCATAGGCTCCTCGATGACACTCCAAAATGGAATAGATCATGGTAATTTTAGAGATGGAGAGAATCTAGTGAACCTCTACATTCCTATTTATTAGTTTGCCTTCCTGCTTTGCCAGAAGATAACAATCCTTGGTATGTCCTTGGTATATATATATATATGTATATATAAATATATATATGTATATATATATATATATATATATATATACAGGGTGTCCCAAAAGTAAGTACACACTTTTCAATCGTTAATATCTCTCTTCTCATTGTGTCTTTTTTCGCCATTCAAGCATCATTCTGTAGAGGAGGCTTCAACTTAGATTTACAGTATTGAGCGAATCACCGATCGCTCTTCATTACTGTAGGATAACTGTAGAATCTTCGACAAGGATTTTAGGCTATTGGAAGCCAACTCTGCCTCGGAACAAAACCAAACAAGCTAAAAACTCTTATACTAAGGTAATGAAAATTGCTGATTTCAAATATGAAATTTCCGCCATACTATGATGCTTCTTTCTAAAGTTATCCCAGGTAAACATGATATCCAAATTTTCAATATTTGCCAAAAATGTGATTAACCATCAGAAAAGTTGAAAACACTCATAAAAAGTTGTGTAGTGGAATTAGGGTGCGCGAAAACCTTAATACACTATTTTTCAGATTTATTGAAAAAAATTTTGTCAGATGGCATATTTCACAATAGTTCTACTTGCTTGAAGTTCTTACCGTAATCCTACAGTGATGAAGAGCGGTCGGTGATTTGCTCAACACTGTAAATCTAAGATGAAGCCTCCTCTACAGAATGGTGCTTGAATGGCGAAAAAAGACTTATTGGGAAGAGAGATATTGACGATTGAAAAGTGTGTACTTACTTTTGGGGCACCCTGTATATATAAGGGTTGGGGGAAAGTCTTTGAACACGGTATTTTTGACGTAATGATGAGGCTAGGCAAGTTGATTATGTGAAATCAATAGATAATGTCTACTTAACTGTCTGCTACACAAAAGTGGCTTTACAATTCAAAGATTCTTCCTCTGACGCGAGCACAAGCTCGGAAACGCTTGGGAACGCTGTCCGTGATGGTACGGAGGTGCTTCACGTCTATTTCTTCCAACGCCTCCTGAAGAGGAAGTCGCAGAGAGTCCACTGTCTTGCATGGGTGAGCGCAGGCTTTGGCCTAAAGAATTGACCAGACCTTTTAGTCGGGGGGATTCAGATTGGGCGAAAACGGACGCCATTCCACAACAGTAGTAAAGACCTTAAAGTTGCTTTGGAGCCAAGTTTGAACTACCTTCGCTGTGTGCGCAGGTGCGGTACCTGCTGGAAGCACCAATCTTTCCCTGCAAAATGGATATTGGTCTAGGGCATCAGTCGCTTCTTCAGAATGCTATCCAACTATGTAGCAGCGTCCACCTTGATGCCCTGAGGCGCTAAGATCAGTGGCATTTTGCCGCCGGAAGTGATCGCCACCCAAACCATCAGAAAAGCCGGATGAGGCTCTCCTTTGGCGAGTCAACCTCTGCTGATGGCTCCTAGCGCGATTACGATGTGATTCCTGGTGTTTTGGAGATTGAAAGCCCGTTTTACGGTAAAAATTTTATCGTCAGAAAAGAGTGCCGTTCTGTGGCGTGCCTTGGAGAGACGTTTAAGCAGTTGATGGCATCTGCGCAGTCAGTTCAGCTTCGTGTTTTCCCAAAAAGCATGAAATTTTAGCATGCTAAAAAGCTTCATCTCAAGGCGCTCTTTTACGATGTCGGAGACTGTCCTGCCAGAGATGGACAGTTCTGAAGCCGGCTCAATCAAGCTTCGCAGAGGATTGCGGCGAAGGCGTTGGCGAACGATTTTCGGAAATTCGTTACTGCCCGCAGTAGCCAATTTACCACTCATACAACAGTCCTGGGTGTTGTTCATGTCCTAGAAACGACGCAAGGTAGAAAAGACCCTGATCTGTTGAATTTGGAGAGTCCGCGCAATTTGCTGGTCAGCCATCCTCTCCTCGTGCATCTTTTCCATCAATGCTCGCTCCATTCCAGAAGGCATATCTCCAACAGGAAAAAAGCTAATAGTCCAGTTTTTTTGAGGGCTTCTACTCAAGAGTATAAGAAGCAAACTCATGTAATTAGCATGCAAAAATTTGTGGAAAACCCGAACATACAAGGACATCAAAAATTGTTCAAGGACTTTCCCCCAACCCTGTATATATGCAGGGTGTCGCAAAAAATGTGCCTACTGTTTGATTGTAGATAACTCTCTTGTAATGAAGTGTTTCAAGAAGCTTTACGTACCGTTTTGTAGAGCGAGGTTATACTTAGATTTTCAGTATGGAGCGGATCATCTATCGCTCTTCATTATTGTAGGATTACAGTACGAATTTCGACAAGGATTTTAGGCCATTAAAGCTTATATTCTGCCTCGGAACAGAACCAAACAAGCCAAAAACTCTTATAGGTAAGGGAGTCGCTGAATGGAATTTGAAATTCCCACTTTACTGTGATGCTTCTTTCCAAAGTATCACCATAAATTGTAATAATTCAGTTCTCAGCATATGTCCGAAATGTAATTACACCGTCAAAAAAGCTGAAAAACTTTGAAGAGGGTTTTGAGCCATGAAAGGCCATATTTTGTTCCAAAAAGGAACCAAAACAGCCTGAAAACTCTCACACTGGGCTAGTTATAGTTGCTGATTCTAAATGTGAAGTTCGCAATCTTTCGTAATGCTTCATTAAAAAATTATGCGAGGTAAGCAATAGCGGCCTTTTTGATCGATTTCCTAAAAAGTGCGGTTACACTGATTAGAAAGCTTCGCAACCTTGTAAAGAGTTGGATATTGAACTCAGCGTCCATGAAAACCCCATTACACAAGTTTCCATATTTTTTTGAAAATTTTTGGAACGGCCGCTTTTTTCACTGTGTCACCATATGTTTGAAGTTTCTACCGTAATCCTACAGTAAAAAAAAGCGACCGGCGATTCGCTCTACACTGGAAATCTAAGTTGAATTTCGCTCTACAAAATGGTACCTAAAGCTTTTTGTAACACTTCATTACGAGAGAGTTATTTACAATCAAACAGTGTGCACATTTTTTGGGACACCTTGTATATATATAAAGGATATAGTCGTTATAGGGCTGTAAGGTTCTTTAGTTTAATCTTTCGAGTACTGGAAGACCGGTGCCATTATTTGTGATTATTGGTACTCCAGGCTCCTTGTTTTGCTTGCTTGTTTGTGTTTCGGTGCACTTTGAGTGCATCGAAATGAAATAAGATAAAATAAAATTTTACACATAAGTTCATACCCCGTCAACATCCGAAATGCACTTGCCGTTAGGACCGCATTGCAGCTGAGTAAGCGCGCATTGGTCCGGTGAATTCCAGCATGTGAAACCCTGAAGGAAAAAACTAATTCTTTGACAACACAAGCAGATTTCACTTACGGTCCATCCGAGTGTGCATTTGCACGCGAAACCTCCTTCTACTTTTTCACAGAATTCTGTGCCAAATGGGTGGCATTGGCGACAAGAGCTTTGAACAACTTGATAATTCGGTGTTTCTTTTTCTATCAAATCTTTGTCGGAATCTAAATAGTACTTAAGGCGCTAACTTGATCGTTAACAGAAAACCGTGCAACATATTCTTACTCTGGGTGCAGTTGATAGTTGGCGGATATGGTTGCAACGTTCCTTGTTCAGTACAGGTAACTTCGATTGTGATATTCTTGTCATTTGGACAGGCAATACTGCAAAGTCGCTTTCGAATATGTCAACGGAAAGGCGCGTAAATGAAACTTTTATATTATCAACAACAGGCAATGCTCCTTCAAGTTCTTCTAAAAATAAACGTCATTAGTTCAAGCTCGGACAAGTTGACCTCATTTGTAACCTAGTATGTGACAGTAGGCTAGTAGGCTGCACACTAAACCCTATTAGCGACGGCTAACTTGGAGTTTCTTTTTGTATTTCAGCCTGCGATTATTACCTCATCCTCTCCCGCTTGTGGTTACTTCTTCTTCTTTTCCACTGTTGCACCAGTTCAATCCTTTACCCTTTTTAAGTCTTGCTTATAATTTACTCTCAAAACTGCAAAAGCGAAGGCTACAGAAGACTTTAAATATTGAGATATTGAATGGATGCTTATGATCCGGGAAACTGTGACCAATAAGAATGTCACCCTTGTGATTTTTGAATTTTGTTGATTTAATGTTGTGTACCACATGTTTACGTTGTCTCACTCTTCATTTACGTCAGATATATGAGCTGTTTTCGTGGAAGTTTCGCATACGGCTCTGCGTGATTGTTGAGGTCGGTGAATTTGAGGTCGAATGCTGGCGCATGCTTTCAGTTTTTTTCTCTTTCTAACGTTCTTTTGCTATCAGATGTTACCTCAACTACAACACATGGAAACACGGGTTGTGCAAATGGTCCGAAACCTTGTAGCGACAAACACCAATCTTTACAATCACGCAGAGCCCTGTTGTTCTCACATCAGTTCCTTTGTGATTGATCTCCTCATAACAGCCTAGCGGTCATTTGTAGCGATATCAATTTCTCCGGCAAAAAGAAGACATACCTTTGTCTCACAACTGTCTAATCAGCACAATGAGAGGATAAAATAAGTCATTAACTAAATACCGAAAATTATTTAAAAGCTTGCTTTTCTTGCTCAAGCGATCCATCCGATAGTAACCAGTGATGCTCCTCACGCAAACATAATGTTGCATTCCCTAAGCGAAACTGAATGATAGAGCTTATGAAGACCTCCTGATAGATAGAAACAACTCACATCGTTTTTAGTTTAGTTCAAGGCAATGCCAAACGTATTTTTCCGAACTATTTATAGTTTCTTTCTGCGAATATCTTTGCAAGTGTGTTCTAAGCATCACTGACGGATTAGACCATCACTATCGTCGAGAATAGTCATAGATAGCCTATCTTTGAAACAGTTCATGAACAGCCGGGGATGAGTTCGCGGCATCTAACGCGCTACATGGCCAAAGCGTGACCGAACGCGAAGTGAGCCAAAGTAAATAGCTGTGAGTCTCAAATACGTCCCGCTAAGCAAAATTAGTAACATATTCGTAACTATCATGTCAAATAACCCCTGTAAGCCAAGTAGCGAGTTCGAAGATTCCATTATTAGGCTCAAGTGAAGCGGCCATTTTCAAGCATGGGTGACTATATTAAAGTGAAGCCAACTTTAGCGAACACGACATTTTTCAGAACTGTCTGTTATTTCTGTGGATTTTATTGATTTTCTGCAAAGTTGGAACAACGGGACTGGAAGGCACAGATGGGGGTAAGTGAGCATGCTGAATACTAACACAGCGAGAACAGGGAACTGCATGTGTAGAAGTGGGCACAGGGAAAGGTTGTACAGTGAAGGAAACGGGCCTTTATTATAGTGTTTTGACAGGGCCGGGTGGAGCCGGGTAAGCCAGCTAGTTTGCCCATAATATGAATCCTGCCTCAAGTTACAATCAAATTATGGAATCAGGAGCTAGCCAAAATCTGTTTTCCCATTTATCGCTTTCAGTGCTTGTGCTTCCAGCGACCATTGCTTACAAGGTGTCTGATTCAAAAGTAAGTACACTCTCCCCAATTTAGTTACTTTAATTACTCTCTTCCTAAAAAATCTTTCAATCAGCTCTTAGCATCATTCCGTGGGGCAGGCTACAACTTAGATTTGCATTATAGATTATATTAACTCTTCATTACTATAGGATTACGATAGGAACTCTAGAGAGGCGCCATTAATGAACACACTTTGCACCGGAATGGAACCATTTTGCACCAATTTTACTTACTGTAAAATTTCTTTCATTAAGCCAGGTAAACCACAGCAAGTGATTTCAAGAATGTGTGATAGAAACCATTTAGAACGCTTGAAAACTTGTAAAAAGCTGTTTAAGAAACTCAACACGTCTGGAAACAAGTCTGCACAGCTTTTCAGAATTTTTTGAAACTTCTTTTCGAAACGGCTTAATTCATAATGGCGCTGTATGCTAAAAATTTTTTACGGTAATACAACATTAATGAAGAGCGATGAGGGTTTCCCTCTATACTGCAAATGTAAGTTGAAGCTTACCCTACCGACTGGTACTTGATGCTAAGCATAAGACTTTGTGGCAAGAGAGTTATTAACAATCAAAAAGTGGGTACTTAGTTGCGAGACACCCTGTATACCTCTAATACTTATGCAAAAACTAATTGACTTGGATATCCTGTGCAGGGCTTATGAACTGCACTGTCGGGTGCACCAGCTTTCGCTCCCACTTCTGCACTCTGCGCCTCTTCCGCGAACGTGCTCTTTAATCACTTTTCCACCGCAAGCGTGGGAAAGGCGAGATCTCAATCTATTGCAAATGATAAAAGAGCATGTCCGTGGAAGAGGTGCAGAGTTCCCGCGCAGGAGTGGAGATGCTCGTGCACGGGACACTGCAGCTGATAAGTCCTGATTATATTTTGTTCGCTAAAACTCTAAACTCTGAGCTAATGGCATGGCAGAAACCCAAAAACCGTGGCTGCCACACCTTTTTAGGGTTTGTGCCACACCCCATTATCTTACCTCCGAAACATTCAAATATCTGTGCTTTCTATATAATTGAGCCGTTGATTGCATGTCTTATTCTCCACACAGTAGAACTTTATTCAAAGTCGCTTTTCCTAAGGAAAGATATAGTCCTTTTTCCTCATCTATGCAGATTGAAAATACTGCGAAAATATTGGGTCATGGTAACATGCTAATTCTGCGTTACTACGTAAATCGCAGGAAGGCGGCAAGATTATGTGTTTGATAGCTTAATCCTGTAGTTTACAGAAAAAACGATTCGATCCTGATCGTTCTTCTCTAGTCTGAGGTATTGAAACTGATGGAACAAAAATGATTTTGGCTTGCTCTTGATTCCATAAATTGGAGGTTGTTTGAAGTAGGGTTCCTAATATGAGCAAAACAGTGGTAGTACTTTGTAATAAGTGCAAAAAAAAGTAGTTAACTCATTTTTGAAACAGAGTTAACGTGTTCGAAAATGACCATCTCACTTGGGTGGCCCATTGTTGAAAAACCTCAGAATTCGCTGAAACTTGGCTCACAAGGGTTATTTGATATGCTGAGTACGAAAATAATGCTCTCGCGGTTTTGGGGCTTTTTTGTCATGCTTACTGTACATATACTATAGTAGATCAAAAATGATGCCTATCTATCTCATCGTTAACAATACCATGTTATCGCTGATATCAGTATCACACCTCAACAACCCCCTCCCGGGTGTGACATGCCACACCCTACGTTTGACCCCATGAGTCATTTCCACCACAACTACAACGACTGACATGAGAGTGAGTCAGAGAATAGTGATCTCTGCATAGACTCAACTGAATCGGCAACTTCTTTGAATGTTGACGAAGACTGTGAATGGTATTTGCGAAGTGACCACTTCATTTTTATGTTCAACTAGTTGGCTTTCCTGGTCCAGCCCAAGCCATTGCTCACCTGCACTGCGAGCCCTACCCCTTTCCCCCTCTTATATATTATAAATGACCTACTCTGGGACATCCGCTCGAAACCGCATCCTCGTGATCCTGAAGTGAAAATGAGCTTCACGGCCCTCCTTTACATGAATATGGGAAAATGCTTGATTAAACATGATAAGCCTTCAATCCCTTAAAATAACGTAAACAAATCAATAAATCGATAGAAGGACCCAATGATTCGCCGCAAAAGGTAGCCTATCATCTGCACAAGGGTCGAAAACATATGTGTGCAAAGTTTCAGCCGAATCGGTTGAGCGGCGCGCGTTTCTATAACGCACATACCCTCCAAACTGACAATTTTTGAGTTTTATATACATAACTCAAAAATTGTCATATAGATTGTGTAGTACAGCATATCAATGCACAGCTCTGTTTTTGTCACTGCAAAAGTGCAAAGCCAAACTTGCTTCTGCAGTCAATCGAAATCTAATCCCTTTCACATTTTTGAGTTCTGTACGACATAGCAAATGTTTTAAAGCTTGCTTACTTGCTTGCTTGCTTCGGTTTTAGGCATACCTTTTCTTGTAGACTGAAGTCTCTCTGCATGTCTTGCGGCTCTCATATTCAAAATACCTTGGTTGAAATTTTCACACTTTATTTTAGTTTTTGGAGGTGCTGGTACAGACTGTATTTTACAGCTCTAACGTAGTTATTTCCGCAGCTCAGCTCAGTGCTTCTTAGATGAGCAAAAATTTCAACGGACCACTTCTGCAAATTGCCTTCGAGTTCATCAACATTTGGACGAGATGATGGGCATAGTGCGTCTATAAAGTGCGGTCCATAATTATACGAACACCCCAAATTTTTGAAGTTTTTGGACTTTTTGGAAGAAACTCGAATAGCCGTGGCTACCACGCGAAAGAGCACAGCCGAAAACGGTTTGTGATCCATAAGAATGGAAATCGATGTCAATCTTAGGAGTGTTTTTGCGCCTAGTGAGAATTTTTAGCGGTTCATAATTATACGAACACCTCAAACTAAGGTCCATTTCTTATTCAAAATTGTAATTTTTCGAGTCCAAATTTTTTGTAGAGTTAAAGTAAAAAGTCTGAAAACATCTGCTACACATTGAAGCCAGTGCAGTTCAAAAAAGGGGTGTTACCTTTTTCAGATGGCTCTAAATGCATTTGGAGTCATTGCGTTCTAAAAGCGTCTGTTCTTCTGTGGTTTACGCTACTCTAATCAATTTACTCTAA